CTGTCAGCACTGGGGAAGGTCCTCATCTCTTTTCACCTTCTGTGCCTCAGCTTGGCAGCTATGTAGCGTCCCCATGTTGCTTGGCTCCTTCCTTGCTTAATCTGCTCTTTTATATCTCAAGCACTGGACTATTAACCACAAGGTCAGCAGTTTAAGCCCAGCAGTCTCTCCTTATAAACCCTATCCAGGGTCCCTACAGGTGAAATGACTTGAAGGCACTTAACAACACTAATTCTGCTTATTTAATGTAACAGAGAAAACCTGCTCCCAAATGGGATTATAACCACAGGTGTATTTGTTAAGGGTCCTCAAGTAGGTTCTGACTCATAGTGACCCTGCATAGAGTTTCCAAGGCTGTAAATCTTTAAGAAACAGAAGTCTCATTTTTCTCCCACGGAGTGGTTGGTGGCCTCAAACCACTGACCCTGTGGGTTTGCAGTTCAGTGCTTATCTTATTGAGCCACCGTACTCCCCAATCACAGGTACAGATTTACAACACATATTTTGGAGAGATACAATTCGATCCCTAACACCAGATAATAAGTGCCAAAGCAAGGGATAAACATTTGCACATGTGAAAACATTCAGACCTATGACCCTCAGGGAATCCAGTCAAGTAAGTGATAGACCAAAATAGAAGATTCTGGAATAGGACAGCCACACCTGAATTGCTGGTGTTAAGTGCTATCAAGTTGGTTCCAATGATAGCGGCCTCGTGTAGGGTTTTCAAGAAGCAGCTGGTGAGTTTGAACCACTGACCTTGCAGTTCAAACAGACCTCCAGTGCTTATCTTACAGTGCCACAATGGTTGTTGTTATGTGCAGTGGAGTCAGTTCTGACTCAGCAACCCTGCACAGGGTTTCCGAGGCTGTAAATCTTTACGAGAACAGAAAGCCTCATCTTTCTCCAATGCAACAGCTGGAAATTGCTGAACCTTGAGGTTAGCAGTCCAATTTGTAACCACTACGCTACCAGAGCTCTTTGCCACAATAGAAGCATTAAATCTACTTAAATATAGAACGTAGCCACAATGATGGGAAGTATGGTTATAGTACAAAATGGGAATTAAAGAATAAAATTCAATTTTTTAAAATGTTAATTATCAACTCACAATAAAATGTTAAAAAAAATTAAATTAATAAGCTATCAGGAGGTAGGGGGAAGAGTTAAGAATGCTGGCATCATCGGTGGTTAGTGTGGAAACAATGGGCACCCTCAGAATTGAAACATTGTTTTTAGAAGCTAAAGTTCTAGCCTTGCAATGCTTTCAGAATTCTCTTCCCTTAACCTTAGTTGGACCTTTTAGAAAACAATCTCTTGTGTTAAAAAACATTCATTTGAAGTTTTACAGCTCCTTTCCTTCAACTGAAAATAACTGTAATTTTGTTACAAAATAGCACTGCAGACGACAAGCTTCTTTTTTTTTTTCATTACAATGATTATAATCCCCTCCATGTACTCCATGTACCATCAGATAACAGTATTTCTCTACTCTATCCACTTTAGCTTTTTTTAAAACAAACAAAAAAACCACTCAGGCATATATAATAATTTACATCTCTAAAGGGCACATTCTGCAAGTCTGCCTCTTGGCCACCAGCTCTTAGTCCTTCTCTTCTTAGTCCATGAATCTAGAGTCCTCAGCCGCTCCCCCTCTCCATGACCCCATCTCTGCCTCCATCTCTGGCGCTGCTGCTTCTCTGGATAAGGTCCTGCATTCTGCTTGTGCGTTCCTCTCTTGATGGTCCTAGGGTCCTCTGTTTCTGGACTGTAAGATTAACCACTCCCCTTTTTTCTTAAAAAACTTCTACCTTTACAATTGTGACAGTTGCAATTAGCCATGATAACAATTATTCACTACTGAATCTTACGAATCTTATCCCCATCTCTTTTCACCAGACCCATCTAGACAAGATGACAGCTATTCAGTGGGGACTCTTTCTTTCCCCACATGCACTTAAACTAAACTCCCTCTTGAAACCTTGTAAGCCAGTCACTTTGTGCCTTTATTGCCTCCTCATTTTAGGCAGCCAATGTCTAAATTGCCTGTCCCTATCTACCCTTTGTACAGAGGGGATAGCATTGATACTTGATGTGAAGACACCTTCCCTCTCTGTTGGTATTTAGAGTAATTACCACTCTGAGTATAGGTCAGGTTCATCAAATTGAAGCAATTTAAGTTACATTTTTACAAAGCATTTCTATCTATTTTCCTAACTGTGTACCTGTCTAAAAGCCTTAGAAAGTTCTCTGGAATGATGTTCCACTTAAGGTGAATCGAGGTGACTTTGGGTGGCTAGGATTTGGAGTGATATTTTCTTCTTTGTACTTTCTTGTGCTACTTGGTTTCTTTACATTGATCATGTACCATTTTTATCATTTGACACAAACTCGGAATGTTTTATCTTAATAGCAAAATAGACAAGAAACAAACATGCCAAGATGTTAACAGTTTTTATTTGTGGATGGTGGTTGTTGGTGTTGGGAAGTACCATCAAGTCAGTTCCAACTCACAGTGACCCTGTATAGGGTTTCTAAGGTTGTAAATCTTTGTGGGAACAGATAGTGTCATCTTTCTCCTGTGGAGCAGCTGGTGGGCTCGACCCACCAATCTTCTGGTTTGCAGTCCAATGTTTATGCAACAGATCCACCGTGCTCATAAAACACTTTTTTATATATATATATGTAATTTTCCAGGTAGTTTTCCAGTGTTATTAGAGAAGGTGAAGTGATGTTGGATGTTTATGGTTGCTATTGTCAATAAGTACCATCATGTTGGTTCCAATTCATAGTGACCCTATATAGTAGTCCACAGTTTATCCTACAGAACCACTGTGCTCCCTAATGTTTATGGTAATGAATAAAATGTTCAGAGAAAAAAGGAAAATTAAAGAAACCTCTATGAGTATATGTGCACACTGTTGTCGTTAAGTACCGTGGAGTCAGTTCCGACTCAAAGTAACCCTACACAGGGTTTCCAAGGCTGCAAATCTTTACGGGAGCAGAAAGCCTCATTTTTCTCCCATGGAACAGCTGATTGTTTCGAACTGCTGACCTTGAGGTTAGTAGCCCAATTCGTAACCACTACACTACCAGAGCTCCTTATATGTGTGCATATGTGAATATAAACACAAAGAGAGAAATAGAGATAAGAGTTACAGCCAGGAGAGTGATCAGCATTGGATACAATGCTATAGAATATTTCTTTCTTATGTCTTTTTTAATTCCTAGAATGTGAACATTTATTACATATTGGGTTTTTGTTTCAATACATCAAGGCTTCAAAAAGTTCATGGAAAAATTCCATTATCTGTCAATTCCATTTTTCTACACACTATAAAATTTCTGGTCTTACTGGTGCATGTGCATTAAGAAGAGTATTAGGCAGTGCTCTGGAGTAGGACCAAGACCTTGGATGGCAAAGATGCCTGGATGATTTCTAAATTCGCATCTTGTTTGCTACTAGATATCTTAAGTGGATTTTCAACTCATAGCAAACCCATGGGACACAGCAGAACTGCTCCCTAGGGTTTTCTAGGCTGTAATCTATATGGGAGCTGCTGCTGTTGCTGATGTTGTTAGGTGCCATGGAGTCGGTATCAACTTATAGCCACCCTATGCACAAAAGGAGCTCTGGTAGCGTAGTGGTTACGAATCGGGCTGCGAACCTTAAGGTCAGCGGTTTGAAACTACCAGCCGCTCCGCGGGAGAAAGATGAGGCTTTCTACTCCCGTAAGGATTTACACCCTCGGAAACCCTGTACAGGGTCGCTATGGGTCGGAACCGACTCAACGGCACTTAACAAACAGAAGCAAATGCACAATAGAACAAAACACTGCCCAGTCCTGGGCCAACCTCACAATTGTTGCCATGCTTGAGCCCATAGATGCTGCCACTTTGCCAATCTCTTTTTCTCTGACCCCTCCACCTTACCAAACATAATCTCCTTCTCCAGCAACTGGTCCCTCCTGACAATATGTCCAAAGTATGAGAGACAGAGTTTGGCCATCCTGGCCTCCAAGGAGCACTCTGGCTGCACTTCGTCCAACACAGATCTGTTTGTTCTCTTGGCAGCCCATGGTACTTTCAATATTTTCCTCCAACACCATAACTTAAATGCATTAACTCTTCTGCAATTTTCCTTATTCACTGTCCAACTTTCGCATGCATATGAGGTTTTGAAAATTCCATGGTTTGGATCAGGCACACCTTAGTCCTTAAACTGACATCTTTGCTCTTGAGCACTTTAAAGAAGACTTGTGCAGCAGATTTGCCTAATGCAATACATCTTGACTGCTGCTTCCATGAGTGTTGATGATAGATCCAAGAAAAATCAAGTCTTTGACAACTTAAGTCTTTTTTCCATTAAATGGATCTTGTTTGTGGGAGCAGATCACTTCATCTTTCTCCTGTGGAGCAGTTGGGTGGGTTCAAACCGCCAACCATTTGGTTAGCAGCCGATCACTTAACCAAATTCCCTTGGAGCCCTGAAATCCAATGGCTCTCTCAGTCCAAACGTGGAATAAGGGACTGAAGACAGACCAACATCAGACACAGCTCATAAGCTTCCCCCACCCCTATACCACTCACTGCAACATGTGTATGCATCCAAGAACACATTTGTTATGTTAGAGACAAGATGAGGAAGAAAATGCCTTGTTTCTACTCCACAAGACAAGGGAGTTTCAAAAAGTTGATGGACATTTTCTATGATCTCTTACTTCCATTTTTCCACGAACTTTTTGAAGTCTGCTCATATATGGAACACACCACACAGCAGCTTGACATGCCCAATTTATGATGCCCAAGCTTATAGCTTTCATGTGCATTTGATGGTTAAAGAAAATAAAAGCATAAAAGGTTCTAAAAGTGGTTACCTTTGGCTTCGCGGACATGCAGATACTCGGCATGCTCAGACTTTAGCGTTTGGAATATTCAACTAGAACAAAACTCACCAGTGGCTATGGCCCAGTAAACGTCTGATCCATTCAGTAACTCACCACATGCTATGGGAGAATACACCTGGGACCCAGGAACTTGCAGCAGAATTCGAAACGGAGCCACCCGTGCGTTGGAATCCAGCACTGCATCTAGAGCACCTACCAGACGACCTTCAAGAGAAACGAGAAGAAAGGGTACCTGTGAGCACAGGGAAGGACCAGGTCCAGTGGCCACCATGTGGCGCCCCCTCCCCTTGCACGGGAGGCAGGGCTGCCCATCAGATCCGCTTCGCCGACTCTGCCGCACAAGAGCACAAGCTCCATGCGGCCCAGGGCTGTGGCTGCCTTGTGCATTCTTCCCCAGCCTTAGGAACCAGCCCTGGAAATTATAGGCACTCAGTGTGGATTCTGAATTCATAAACATGAAGCAGAAGGAAGGTGTGGCAGATTTGAAAATTCATGTTCATACAAACACCTGCATGCAAACGATGATAGCAGTTTTACCAACTCTTCACTTTTTGACATGGTTAGATTCCAAAATAAAAAATGGATGTTGATTATATGATTACATGACTACCAAACCACTAAGAATCCAGGCCCAGCCAGGATGGCATAACCATCACAGCCAGCATTGTCGCCTTGCAACTCAGCATTTGTTACTGTCACCAATGTGCAAACAGTCAGATAATATAATTTTTAAATTAATGTTATAAACACAAAATGTCAGATAACAATATTAAGTGAGGAATTGTAATTGTTGTTGGTAAATGCCATTAAATTGGTTCTGACTCACAGTGGCCCTATGTAGGGTTTCCAAAGAGTGGCTGGTGAGTTTGAACCACTGACCTGAATTCAGGTTAGCAGTCCAATGCTCATCCTACAGTGCTCCACCAGGACTCCAAATGAGGAGTAGGTGTCTTTATAATTGCCAAAGACTGGAAGCAACCAAGATGTCCTTCAATTGGTGAATGAATAAACAAACCATGATACAGTCATTAAATGGAGTATTACTCAGCAATAAAAAAGAAACATTGGTGAATGTAATTAAAGTCACTGAATTGTATACAAGACTAGCTAAAATGGTACATTTTATATGATATGTATTCTACCGTAATTGAAAAAAAAAA